GCAGCACTTCCAACAAGGTCCTGAAGCCAGGATTCACCCACAGCCCTCATCCAGATAGGACCCATGGGCAAATGTATTACCTACCCTGCAAAGTACTCAGCAGGGGTTCTAGACGAACCAGTAACCTTCCCATGTGGGACTGCCAAGCAGAGCATTGTGTTTTACCACTGTAGCACTCTTCCTGTTTCTTTTCTCCAGTCTCTCCATTGTTCTCATGGTCTTCCTTAATCTGAAAAGATGCACACATCACTTATTTAGTCTAATCAGGATTTGAATAAATTATACACATTTTTTCCTCCCTACCTTTCATGTACCTGGCACTACATAGAATTATTCTTAAAGCTAGAAAGATGACATCATTTCTTGTGTTTCTAATACCTCTTTCTTACTATAATTTATCTGCTCAGACAAGATGGGTATTGCACTAGTTCACATGAAGAAGCAGGCAAACAGAAGCTAGAAAACAGACAGGGAATTAAGAAAGAAGTATTGTTTTTGCTTAGGCTTCACCAATATTTTATGGCTAATTTCTTTCAACTATTCAATATAGTAAAAGAAACATAGGACCCACTCAAAATTGAATTCAGCAAATTGTTTTACTATCTATTGCCACACTATGCCAAATTCTGTCAACTAAAACAGCAAACTAAAATCTATACATACTTTATATTTCTATGTCTAAATAATTAAAAAATATGGCAAAGCAATGAAAACAAGAAATGATTATGAGACAGGAAATGATACATGCTAGAGTTAACTTACGTGAAGGACTATGACAGTAGGGAGAGGGGTTAATTTAGGTTTAGAGAAACCAAAAAGCCTTCTCAGAATATGTGGCCTTTGGGGACCAGTGGATGGCATAATAGTTATGTCACTGGACTCCCATGTAGTTGACCGCAGTTTGAGTCTGGACCCAGCAGGTTAAAACTCATACCAGGCACATGTGTGTTCGTTCCCAAAATCTCAAGAGGAGAATAGAGGAGAAGAGATTGCATCATGGCCACCACCACTCCACACCTCCAGGGAGTGATTTCTCGCTTTCTGTCTCTCCATCTCTCTCTGTCTCTCCATCTCTCTATCTGTCTCTCTGGCAAGTGCACGTGCCCTATATTAAAAAAAAAAAAAAAAAAAAAAAGAATATGTGGCCTCCGGCCAGAGCCCAAAAGGAGCTAGGAATGGGGTAGGCAGAGGTGTGGCAGGGGTTCCCACCAGAAGAACAGTGGTGGGAAAGCAGACATGGGTGTTGCAAAGCAATGACCTGTAAGAGGGTAGGAATTATAACATGCTGTACTGTGGATTTGTTATGCATGGTAAATAGGCTTTGTTAGAAATGGAAACTATATCGGGACCAGCAGGAGACATGATGGCTAAGGTGCTGGATTCCTATATGGTCAGCCAGAGTTTGAGTCCCAGACCTAGTGACTTAAAAATCATGTCAGGTGTATGTGTATACATGCCCAAAATCCCAAGAGGAGAAGGGGTTGCAGCATGGTCATCCCCATGAGGGAGTGATTTCACTCTAGCCATCACCTCTGGAGAGTGATTTCTCATTTTCCATCTCTCTGTCTCTCTTTGGTGAGCACACATACCCTATGGCAAAAACCTTAAATATTCTAATATGTACTAGACATAGACTTTGAAATTAGAATGGCCACCCTTAAAGTTGCTCAAAACACAGTCTACCAGCCTTTTCGAGGGCTATCCATATCAAAGCAGGGCTTGGTTATAGCTTTGACAAAGAAAGAAAGATACCTGTATGACTACATTAGACAGCTACTTAGAAATGGACACACTGTGGAAAATCTATCACCCAGAATGTTGAGGCCACGACCACTAAAGGAAGGTCAAATAAAGGTCAAGACTGACTTGAGAGCTGATAGTCATAGTACCTGTCAGAGAAGTAGGCCAGATATTTTCATTAAACTTTCTAAATTAGAGTTTAGCATGAAAACACCAGAGATTGGAAATATCATATATTATGATCTAAGAAAGTCAAAATTAATTACACTATACTAAAAAGTCTTTGAACTGACTTTGCATTATGTAAAATTAGAAATAAACACAATTTCTGTCTCTCTACCTGTGTGTTAAACATACACTCACTCTGCCAGGCTGCTTTTTCATTTGATTATTTTCCTTATTCCTCATTTATATGTCTTTTTTATTTTTCTCTCTGCTAAACCAAATTACTGTACTGGATTCTGACTTTTCCAGTTTAATAAGACACATAGAGAAACCAAAATATATCTGGAAGAGAGCAATTAAAACAGGAACAGATCTGAACCCAGAGGTATGGATATTACGGGTTACAACATTGAGACCATTAATCTTGAAAAAGAAGCCAGTGGAAGAGAAGACAGTCATCTCTGCCTGTCCAAGTGTCATCATTCTGGAAGTGTGTGTGTGGGGGGGAGGGGTAATTTAATGTGTGGCTCCAGAAGGGAGACCCTGGATAAATCACTACAAGTTACAGAAAAGGAGAGTTGACTTCCATTAGACCTGGCAGCAAATGGGAAAACCTCTTCCTATAGGTATATCCCATGATATGAGAAAGCAGCTCTAGTTACATGTACCAAGTAGTTCTAGATGCTGCATAATTATCTACTAATAATAATCTATTGGGTTTTTAGAAAAGTCATGGTGCTTTTTTTTTTATAGAAAAACACAAAAATACATCATGACTTTTTCAACAGCCTAATAATTTGAGCTCCCACTGGATTCAAAGCAACTTGAGAACGTGGATCATACCTTTTTTCCTCTGTTGCCTCAACTCATATCATAGTACATGGTATTTAATAAACATTCAAATACAATCTTGATGACAAAATGAAGATGAATAAGACCATGAACCACCTCAAATAAGTGATTCAGAGTAAAGAGATGGTGATGGTGAAGGGGACTGATACCTAAGACATGGTATCAGTCCAACCTATATGCAAGATAAAAAGAGATGACCACGGGGAAGCTCGAAGTCTGGTATGAACACAGGTCCTAGGTGGAAGCTGGTAAGGATGAGAGTAATTAGGCAGGTTTGGGCACAGATACTCCTTCATTTTATCAACACCCATGAACAGTGGCAGAAAAGACTATTTGTTTTGGACAGAGTATAGTGTCAGAATAGCTCCTACATATAGAGGCCTTTTGTTTCCAAATCTCCAGTGTTTTCTACACATGATCTCAACCACCCTCCCTCTTCCCTGGGATGCAGCAGGCAAGTGAAGGCACAGTGGCCTGTTGGGACAAGAGTGTGCCCAATTGGCTTCTCTCTGGAGCAGCCTCCTCAACAGCCAAGAAGAGACTGTCTTTCAACTCAGTGAGAGCACAGGCTGATTTGAAATCTCTTCTTTTCCTTGATACTTGTGACTCTCACTGGTTAATATTGAAATATATATATATATATA